GTCTTCCCGCACATCCATCGTAACATCCGCATCTCCGCCGCATGCAGACGACGCACATGAGTCTTCTTAACCGCCCAACACTCTGCCCCATATAACATAGCAGGTCTGACTACGGATCGATAGAACTTACCTTTCATTCTAGGCGAAATCTTCGGATCACACAACACCCCTGAAGCTAACCGCCATTTGGCCCAAGCCACTCCAACCCGATGTCCAACATCCGCATCTAACTCCCCATCCGCCTGAATTACTGAGCCAAGATAACGAAACCTGTCTAACTTAGGTACTAGGTGAGAGTCAATCTTGACTTCCACCTCTGATTCTGTATCCCGGCCACTGAAACGACATTCCATGTATTTAGTCTTGTTCCTACTTATTCTGAATCCTTAAGTCTCAAGGGCAAGGCGCCATGATTCCAACTTATCGTTTAGTCCCTCACGTGTGTCGTCGATAAGCACAATATCATCCGCGAAAAGCATGCACCATGGGACCCCGTCTTGAACACCTTGAGTTAGGACATCCATCACCAAGGCGAACAAAAAAGGGCTAAGAGCAGACCCTTGGTGCAACCCCATCCCTACCGAGAAGGAATCTGAGACGCCCCCGGAAGTCCTTACCTTGGTCATAGCCCCATCGTACATATCCTTGATCACGCGAGTGTACACGATGGGCACTCCTCTCGCCTCAAGGCACCTTCATAAGACCTCCCTTGGCACCCTATCATACGCCTTCTCAAGGTCAATAAACACCATATGAAGGTCCTTCTTCCTAGCCCTATACTCTTCCATTAACCTCCTCACAAGATGAATGGCCTCTGTAGTCGATCTGCCAGGCATGAAACCAAACTGGTTCTCCGAGATGCAAACCTCTTTCCGCACCCTATACTCGATAACTCGCTCCCAAACCTTCATGGTGTGGCTAAGCAGTTTGATGCCTCTGTAATTCTCGCAGCTCTGAATGTCACCTTTTCCTTTAAACAAAGGGACCAAGAGACTCTCCCTCCACTCATCAAGCATCCATGCTGTCCGGAGGATAACATTGAAGAGTTTGGTTAACCAAACCCACGCATCACGACCCGCATGCTTCCAAAACTCCACTGGAATCTCATCTGGTCCCACAGCTCTCCCATTACGCATCACGCGGAGAGCCCGAACCACCTCTTCCAAGCGAATGCGCCGGCAATACACACGAGATGCCCCAGGATGTCCCAACTCATCAAGAACTAGCCTCTGGTCTCCTCCCGCATTTAAGAGTTCACTAAAGTACTCCCCCCAGCGCTTAGCCACCTTGGCAGTCTCAACTAACACTCTACCATCGCTGTCCTTCACGCATCTCACGTGGTCTAGATCTCGGGCCTTCCTCTCGCGCACCTTAGCAAGCCGGCACAGTGGATTAACACTGCCTTTCTCCTCAATATCCTTGTAAAGGCGTTCAAAAGCGGCATTCTTTGCCCTCGTTACCTCTAACTTAGCTTCTTTACGCGCATTCTTGTACTCCACTCGCAACGCCGCTCTTTCCTCCTCAACATTGCAGCCCATGTACCTCAAATACGCCACCTTCTTAGCTTCCACCTTACTTCGGACGGAATCGCTCCACC